CTATATGCCTAACACAGGTTTCCTAAAGCTTTAAAATACCAGAATGTCTGTTCATTTGACAATACAACTGAGGTACTGCACAAAAAGGCAGCATTTAACCCAACAATGATGGAACCTTAAGATCTAAAACCAGTTTTGAAACTTCGGCATGTGTTAGTAAAAGTGTAATGCAGCTACTTCTGTATCCAGGACAAATTGGGTCTTCATTTGGTGCTAAATTTTATCACATATCTCTTGATTTTTTTCATATCGGGAAAACTGGACCAACTAGCACAAACACATGATACATAAAAGGGAATTTATTAAACCTGGAGCAGACAAAATGTGGAGCAGCTGTGCATGACAGCCAATCAGCTTCTAGCTTTCATTTTCAAACCTTAACTGAACAAACTGAACAGAGAAGCTGATTGGTTGTCATGAGCAACTTCTCCAGTTTTTGTCTGCCGCAGTCTTGATAAATTCCCCCCATACTGTATATGTGGTGCCATGGAAGAAAGCCCTCTTGTGTGACTCCACATATATGTGAGTTATTGCGAACATGATCACTAGCAATTATATAAAATAAACTAGCATTATGGTTTTTATTATTATAATGAATAATAATATTTATATTAATACAAATCTGTCATCTTTACTGACTACTCATCCTTCCCTTTGAGCACTTGCTTGGTATGTGGAAAAAGACTGGTGAGCTGCTGAAGTCAGAAAGGAAGCCAATCCACATCTGTTTACTGGAGATTACTGTTGTGGAAATTTTACTAGGATGTGTTTTTAGTGTAATATTGGCATCATGTCTCTCAGTGTCTGGATTTCTGCGTCACGCTCGATTGGAGCGTGACCCGGATTATTCAGGCACTGGGAATAAACCATTGGAGTGGATATGCATGATGGAGCAATGTTCTCTTAGCGAGTGTGTGGACGCCGGCTAGGGCCCCTGCGCGGTGCGCGGATTTATTGGTTTGGCGTGTATGCATCTACTTTGAGGACATAGTATTATTTAAGATACATATCTGCCTTTTTGAAAGGAATGTGCGTTCGTATTTCTGATGCGTCTGATCACCGCGCTGGAAGTAGTATGGCATTGTCCCTGCAGATAAGCTCCCATCAATGCGAATCATAATAACTTTATTGGGCATTGCTCACTGAGCAATGCTGGATAAAGTTCGCTCCAGTGTTAAGGGGAGATTAAAGATGGCATCATCCATGTGCAAGCATGCTGCTTCCTTTGTGTAAGTGTTTTTTGGCGGGAAATCCATTGTTAACAAATGTGCACGTGAAACATGAACTAGCAGCTGATAACTGTGCACGGTGCTTCACATGTATGAGCATACCCTCCCCTTTTTCTATGTCTATTCAGATGTATACATGTGTTTCATTGGCTGGCTCTGTATTCTATTGATGTATGAGGAAGTAGTGGCTGTTGTGGCCAGCACTTCCTGTGTTACCCCTATAAATAAAGAAGTCTTCCTCAAGTGAGGAGGACAGCGACTGAGGATCTGAAGAAGCCCCTACGCCCCTTTTGGTTAAATCTTTTCTCCACCAATTTTAGGTGGTGGCCTCTAGTCTTTGTTTTGGAGTTTACTGTAAAACGTTTATTGCTGATGTTGCTATCACCATTGAACATCTTGTGTATCAAAATCATGTCCCCCCTTAATCTCCTCACTTCCAGCGTAAACATGTTTAAATTTAGTAACCTTGTCTCATAGCTTTGGTCCTGTATCCCCTTAATTAGTTTAGCTGCCCTTCTCTGGACTCTCTCCAGCTCAAAGACATCCTTTCTGTGGATTGGTGACCAAAACTGGACCGCATACTCCAGATGAGGTCGAACCAGCGATCTATAAAGTTGCATAATTATAGATTTGTCTCTACAGTACATTCCCTTTTTAATACAAGACAGTACTCTGCTCGCTTTGTTTACCGCTGCCTGGCATTGCAAGCTATTATTCAATCTGTGGTCTACAATGACCCCCAAATCTTTTTCCATTTCTGACTTCCCTAGTGGAGTTCCCATTAATGTGTATTCCGCTTGTCTATTTTTAACCCCAAAGTGCAATACTTTACATTTATCAACATTAAACCTCATCTGCCAAGTAGTTGCCCACTCCCCTATTTTATCCAGTTCCTCCTGTAATGTTATAGTGTCTAAATCCGTGTCGATTACCCTCCCAATTCTAGTGTCATCAGCAAACACGGAAACATGGCTATTCACGCCCTCCCCAAGTTGAATAATAAAGGGCCTAGCACAGAACCCTGGGGTACACCACTCCTGACCTTAGACCAATCTGAAAAGGAGCCATTTATCGATACTCTCTGGACACATTCCTGTAGCCAATTCTCTATCCATGTACTCACCATTTCATTTATGCCCATAGACCTCAGCTTGTGTACTAGGCGATTTTGTGGTACTGTGTCAAACGCTTTCGAAAAATCCAGATAAACCACATCCACCGGCCTCCCTCCATCCAGATCTCTACTTACCTATTTGTAGAATGTTAGTAGGTTGCTCTAGTAGGAACGGTCCTTCCTAATCCATGCTGGTTATCATTTATTATACCATTTGCAAACTATATATTTTTTTTAAATAATTGCATTGTAAGCACATGGCACTTGAATAGCTTCAGCTGGCTGGTTAATGCACCCTGTGCCCTCCTCCCAGCATGGAGGAGAGAGCTAGGAGATCCAACCAACTAATCAATAATGAGAATAGTTGACAACTATTTTCGGTATCAATTACTATTGATTAATCGATCAGTTGGTTGCGGCCCTAGTTCATTATAGCCTCTTACCAACTATTTTGCTAGTATACCAGATTTAATTTGACTTTGGTCTCCTGCTGGATAGTTTTAATCCTCCAAGCTGTGATATAAAAGTTCATCCATACTGCTGGCACAGAGTCTCCAGGGAGCACAGCATATTGCATGCTATCTCTTTAAATGTCTCTGCCTTTAGAACATTTTCACATTGCATCAGCATCATGTAAAAGATCAGTTGATTGCTCTCAAATGGCAAGGGGAAAATCAAAAATCTCAGAATGAGTCAAACATTGTTTCAGCAAGAAAAACTTTTAGCCAGGTACAAAATATGGAGTGGTGGTGTCCAGGCAGCCCATTCACTTACCCCCTGCGCAGACTCTTGATCAGAGCCCTCATTATTATTATTAATGTTATTATACAGGATTTATATAGCGCCAACAGTTTGTGCAGCGCTTTAAAATATAAGGAAGACATTACAATCACAATACAATTCAAGACAAGATGGTAAGGAGGTCCTGCCCGTGAGGGCTTACAATCTAAAAGGGAGGGGCAAGTGATACATGAGGAGGTTGCTGTCCTGGGAATGAATTGTATGAGAACGTGATGGTTGAGTGGTTTAGTTTGAGGTGGGATAGGCTTCCTTGAAGAGATGAGTCTTAAGGGATCGCCTAACGGCAGTCAGGGTGGAGGATGGACGGACAGGTTGGGGTAAAGAGTTCCAGAGGATGGGAGAGACTCTAGAGAAGTCCTGGAGGCGAGCATGGAAGGAGTTGACGAGGAAGCTGGAAAGCAGGAGGTCTTTGGAAGAGCGGAACGTACGGTTAGGATGATACTTTGAGACAAGGTTTGAGATTTAGCCAGGGGCAGAGTTGTGGTAGCTTTGTAAGTGGTTGTTGTTATTTTGAATTTTATCCTTTGTGCTATTGTAAGCCAGTGGAGGGATTGGCAGAAGGGGGTTGAAGACACTGAGCGGTTGATTATTTGAATGAGCCTAGCAGCAGCATTCATGATAGACTGAACCCCCTCTAGTTGCAATAGTCAAGACGACAGATAACAAGTGAGTGGATGAGTAGTTTTGCGGTTTCACTGGTTAGGAAGGGGCATATTTTGGAGATGTTGTGAAGGTGAAGACTGCAGGATTTGGATAGTGATTGGATGTGGGGAAGAAAGGGGAGGTCCGAATCAAGGATGACACCTGCACCTTGGCATTGGGAAGGGTTTGATAGTTGTGTTATCAATCTAAGGGGAAAAGTTGGGGGAAGGTGCACGGGCAGGAGGAAATATCATGAGCTTAGTTTTTGAAACGTTGAGTTTTAAGAAGTGATGTGACAGCCAGACTGATATGTCAGTTAGTAGATTAGTGACACGCAAGCTATCTATCCACCTCCCTGCTGCCACACAACAGTCTGGGTGTTAGATCCATTATTACTGCCTCTTTGGCCATTTATTACAATTGCAACCTTCATTGCAAAAAAATGTCATTGTGACCTAAAAATCACTCACAAAACAGGAGTGGTTCATTCTTCCTGCCCCTCCAGGCCAGTTGTCTTGTGTCACTCTTTTCCCACCCTGGTCAGTCTAAATATCACACTAACAAAATCAGACACAATAGCCATAAACTGCACTCCAAAGGTGGGGCAAAAGTCTGAAAGAAATAGATTTTTCTCATTGATCATCTGTCACTCGGTTCTGCTAGCAGTTCAGCTGTAAATATACGGACCCGGAATTGGTTAAGTGTAGTCACAGCACACTATTCCACCAGCAAAAATGCACTAACTGTGGAAGGGCATGAACAACGAGGGTCCACTTAATTACCACTTGTAGGCTGTTTGGCACTTTTTATTACATATGGGAACATTTTACAGACCGTCAAAAACATGTGGATGGCTTTTTGACCCTTCCACCCTAGAGCTTCTGTTGGCTATACAGAAGTCCGGCCTAGCTCACACCATCTGTGTGTGGCATAAAATGTTTTGAATAATAAAATTGGAAGATAAATAACTGCATGGGGATTTTGTCTGAGCATACAATTCTTCCTGAAGATTTGAATGCATGCCGGGCAGTATAGAAGAGGAGACCAAATGTCACGAGGATGTGAAAATAAAACAAAATAAATCACTAAAATATGTAGATATCTGCTTTGAACAATCTAATCTGATGATTACATTTACTAATCTCTAATCAAGATTAAAAAACATTTTAACTTTATAATTTCTTTAAATTTTGACTAGTATTTTTTACTTTCAGCCTTACAAGCCATCAAAAGACCAGTTGAAGGATATGGTCCAGTATTTGAGGAGCAGCCCCAGAACACTTTGTTTCCAGAAGGTTCAGCTGAAGAGCAAGTAACCCTCTCCTGCCGTGCTCGAGCCATTCCCCCTGCCAACTACAGGTATCATTTAAGGAGTATGTATACCATGTATATCTAGCTGTGATATAAAATGTTAGGATAACCATAAACCAGCAATACATTTGCACTATAAAGTATGTGAGAAAGATCAAATTCATAGGAAACAAAATTAGCTAGAATGTCAATTTTTTTATTACATGAATTGATTGCATTTACTGCATGCACATCACATGATTGATATTTGCAATATTTTGAATGTAAAACTCCATTTAGAAAGATTATTAATCCTCATATTAAAGTGCACCTTTGTCCAACAAATGCCTTTTAATTACTATTTTGCTCATGTCCATTTGCTATGTCAGGACCTTTGCACTCCTTTCTCTCTGCCTGTTAGTGCTGCTTTTCTGAGAAGGCTGGTCTTCAGAAATCTACATGGTCTCCATGGCTACTTTTGCTTTGTGGGGCATTTGTGGGACACCGGTACAAACAGTACAGGCAAGTCTTGACTTATAAATTATACATTAATCACCATAAAGCAATAATAAACAGTGCTCCAAAATTACTGCAAATAGTCGAATAAACAAAAAGTGACCACAAAAAATGTGGAATGTGCATAAATATGAAGAATCCTTCAATCCACACTGTGTTCTCTGAGTTGCTTCTGAGGAAGTCATAAGACAATACTGGTAGGGCAGGCCACTACCTACCAAAAGTGGTCCAAGCAAGGAAAACCGGTGGACTGGTGACAGGGTCATGGACTTCCAAGGCTCAATGATGCATGTGGGGAGTGAAGGCTGGCCCTTGTAGTCTGATCCAATGGAAGATCTATTTTTAGCTCAAAATGGCTTGGTGCCAGATACCACAGCATACCTTCAGAGTTCAAGTGGAGTCCATGCCTCAATATGTCAGGGCTGCTTTGGCGACAAAAGGGGGACCTACTCAATATCAGACGGGTGGTCATAATGTTATGGCTGATTGGTTTATATCCTGATTTATGTTAGTGCTGGTGGAGCACTCTGGAAATGTGAGCCTGTCCTTTTTGGTATACATTTTGAATTTTAATAAAATGGAGTTACACTATGGATTCTATTCTGAATTGCACTATTTTGAGTCTTTTGCTTTTGTTGAAACATTGCTGGGTTGGAAGTATGTTAGCAATACATCAAGAGGTTTGGGAAGGCTTTTTCTGAATTGAATGAGATGTCTTGAGGGGATTATTCACATATGCTTGATATGACCTGCCTACAATGTGGAGGTCATACAATCTAGTGAGTGGTATTTTCATAGGTGAAAGGTCCCAAGTGGTTTAGTGTGACACAGAGTCAAGTTTTTAATGTATAAATTAGATGAATTTACCACGTGCACATTAAATTGTTGATTTTTGCAATATTTTGAATGTGAAGGCCAATTTAGAAAGATTATTAATCCTGGTATTAAAGTGCATCTTTGTCCAACACATGCCTGTGGATTGCTGGGTTGTCCATGGCAACTTTAGCCTTACCTACTTGCTGCTATGTCAGAACCTTTGATTAATATCCATACAATATAGAGATATACAGATTTACAATAGAAAATAGTGCTTTCGAAGCACTTTAAGCACTTTTAAGGAATTTCCTTCAATACCTGAAAATATTTGTATATATTTATATATATTTACTCTTTTTATATTTGTATTTACACTTTTATATTTGCGTATGTATTTGATTTTAATTTGATTTTATTTTCCACTCCTGGCATTTCCTATAATGGGTTTTAAAAGATTTTTTCTTTGCTGTTATTTTTGTTTACAATTTCCGATCTTTAGTGGTCCACCTTTTCTCTTAAAATGTTTCTTTTCCTCCTACAAGTTTTTTTTCTAAAGGGCACTTTAAAACATGTACTGGCAGTGAGCCCATCGATTAAGGATGCCCTGATGAAGCCATTAGTTTGTGTGTCAAAACATGTTGGGACTGCACTGAAGAGTAGGCACTTTAATATTTTTTTAGGCATTGGAGGAAGCACTATTTTCTATTGAAATATGCCAGAACCTTCATTCTCCCTGTCTGCCAGTTTTCAGATACTTGCATGGTTTGCATTGCTACTTTTGCTTTGTGGGGCATTTGTCTGGAGCGTATCTAAATCCACAATACAAACTGTATATATTGCAGATTACATTGATGTTGTTGATGCCTTTGTTTTTTTCTTATTTTCACATGGTGATCTTGTCAATAACATACTTCTTGTCCTACAGTAACATCGCTCACTTACTGTACTCTATCTACAAAGGATCAGTGTTCTCACCCTTGGCTATTCTCCTGATTTGGCTACAATTTACATTTTGGTTCTTTGGTTTAGATATATTTTACACAGCTAGCTTCAGGATGGTGTGAACTGTGAGTTTCTTTGGGGTGCCAATTGAGGAGAGCAGGAAAAGGAGCCATTTTGGGTGGTAAAATAATAACAATTTATGAGACTGCATAGTGATCCATGAGAAATATTTAATACATTCATTGGTTTTTTAAAGCAACCACATCAAACTTCATACAGCCCTATCTGAGCAGCCTAGGCAGCATGCACAGGAGGGGGATGAGAAGTCATTTCTCTTACTCTTTTTAGTTTTGTGTAGATATAAGCCTGAGCCATTGGTCAATTGCGACCGGGCCCTGGCGTTCCACCTGTTGGGGGAGGGGGGGGCAGTGAGGAAGAAGAAGGCCCGCAGCAGCCTCATGCTGCCCCCCCATGATAGTGCCGTTCCTTCCCTGCCGCTGTGCCACCCGCAGCAGTAGAAGCGGGACATGTAGAGGCGGCTGTGCGGCGGGAATGGAGAGGCGGTATGAGTAAGCTGTCACCTGTCCAGCAGAATGTGCTGCAGGCACCACCAGGCAGCACATTCTGCTGTGTGGGAGAGGACCCTCTCCACTTAGACCCACCCCCTGCATGAGTCAGGTAAGTATGGGTGGGTAAAGGCTGGACGGGAAGGGGGGAGAGCACGAGGGGAGGGGGCCGAGAAGCTGGTGGTTTTTCAGCATTGCTGATTTTCATTATAATATATTGCTGGGCCTTGTAGTCCAGCATAGTTGGAGCTATTCTGCATTGCTGTATAATGATTATACAGCAATGCAGAATAGCCCCAACTATGCAGGACTACAAGGCCCAGCAATACATTATATTATTAAGTAGGGATGCACCAGTGCCAATACTGGGCATTTTCACGAGTACTTGTACTAGTACTCTTGAAAGTGCCCAGATAATAAGCGCAGATACCAGATGATACCAGATATCTCGATGTTCTGTCGAGAACGCCGACGTAGTCGTACCTCAGTATCTGTGTTTGCGCACAGACCAGTAGTATCCAGGAAACAGGGATTTATTGACAAAGTATTTTGTTTAAATTGCTAATTGTGACCGTTAATAATATGCCATCCATCATTACTGCCATGGATGGCATATTATTAACGGTCACCATTAACAATTACAAACTAATGCTTTGTAAATAAATGCCAGTTTCCTCGTTAATCTGGTCTGTGCACAAGCGCAGATACTGGGTCGGCAGAGCACCGGCACTGCATTTTTAAACTGAAGTGGCTGCCTGAGGTCTCGTGCTTGTTGGGGACTTTGGCAGCCTTCCTGTTAACCACACGGTGCCTGTTTATAGTGCCTTCCCATGGCGGTGGGGGATGGGGGGCCCTTAATGGTTTCTTGCACCGGGGTGCTGACGTTTCTAATTACGCAAATTAATATAGATTTCATTTTTCTGTTTATCGTGTGTATTAAAAAATAAATAAAATGCTATGGAAGGAAATAAAATTGGTTTAGTAATATTAAATAATATGATTTCATTTTTCTCGGTGTGTGCATTAGACATGTGCACTGACCAAAAATTAGTTTTGTTTTGATTCAGATTTTGCGTTATTTCGCTTTTTGGGATTTGGTCCGAAATTGAAGTCGTTTTGGGATTCGGATTAGCTCATCATTCGCTGCAACGATCATTCGCTCGTTGCAGCAAAATGACATTAGAAAATGTCTTTATTTTACAGTTTAGAGTCTCCAGGGGAGGGGGGAAAAAGCGTGGCGTTCCAACGAAATTTTGTTGCAGTAAAATGACAGAATTTTTTTTTTTTTTTTACAGTCTGCAGAAGAGGAGAAAAAAAAGCGTGAGGTTCCCCCCCAATTCATTCCAGACCCTTTAGGTCTGGTAGGAATGTTAGGAGGTATCAGTAACACAGTAAAAACAATGAAGCGCCACTAACTATCAGTCCTCACTGGGAAATCTTCTCAGGCATACTGCAGGATGCTGCCCCAAAGAAGCCGGGAAAGCTGGGAATCTGGAAAGTAAACACAAAGGGAGCGCCTTTCCTAGTGCAGATCAATTTATTTCAATACGCATGAAGTAAAAAGGAGATGAAATGGTACTCGCAAACATGAGTGTTACACAGGCATGGAATGGTACCATTTCATCTCCTTTTTACTTCATGCTTATTGAAATAAATTAATCTGCACTAGGAAAGGTGCTCCCTTTGTGTTTACTTTCCAGGAATGTTAGGAGGGACCATCCCCAAGTTAAAACAAAAGTGCGTGGGGTTCCCCCCAAAATCGCTATCAGGCCCCTTAGGTCTGGTAGGAATTTTAAGGGGGAACCTCAGCCCGCCAATTTTTGACTATTCCTTTAATTTTAAAAAAAATGGCTCGTCGGGTTCGGAGGGTCGTCGTGCGGTAGGACTTTTTTTTATTTCGGAGGGTCTGCGGGCGTCGTGCATCGTGATTGACGCTGGCTTACATCGATGGAGCCATTTTTTTTTTTATTGAAGGAATAGTCAAAAATTGACTTTATTTTTAATCTTTTGTTTTTATTTTAATTAAAGGATATTATCAAAAGTCTGGACTTTATTAACCATTTGATTTAACCCTTTAGTAAATGGGTAAGGGTACAAGTGCCCCTTACTCAGTCACAAGGGGTACCCCGACTCATTCACACCAATTGTGGTGCGTTCCAGAGCGGTAGCTGCTGCAACGCACAGCAATCGCACACTAAACACCCCCCTTCATTCTGGGGTGGGAGGGGGCATGGCGGTGCATTGAAGTCAATGGCACCGCAGCCATGCCCCCACCCACAGTGCGATCGGCTGCGTGGCAAAATATTGCCTGCATTCCGGTCCAGTTGCAAAAGCAAAAAAAATGCTGCATGCTCTATGTTTTGCCACGCGTTCAATTGCACTGCTACTACTCTATAACGCACCGCACTTGGTGTGAACGGGAATTTAATATGCATTGTATTGCTGTGGATCTCTGCTATACCCATGATCAGACGCCCAGGGAGGGACTATTGTGCCTAAAAGAAGGCTCAAATGCCCAGGGAGAGGGTACAGTCCCCAGGAAAAGGCTCAGATGCCCAGAGAGGGGGTATTGTGCCCAGGAGAAGGGTGAGGGAAGACACCCAGGGGGAAGGAAGGGATCTTTGTATGGGAAAACAGATTAGAGGGGGTGTCTGTGCATGGTGGAAGGGACTGAAGACAGATCTGTATCCAGGAGAATGGGACACCTGGGGAAGGGCCTTTGCTAAAGAGAGGGGTGGCACTCCCTGTAAGGGGAGGAGCCTTTATTGTATATCATGTAATGAGCGGAAAATCTGCTCCTGGTTAGACCCTCCACATCTGTCTGACACTCTCCACATCAGTTGTCTAACCTCCTGTGGGGTGGCCTGCTGCACCTACCCGCTGGACCACAGTCGGGTGGGGATCAGAATGTGGGTGATTTTCTTGGCCCTGCACCATCCATCAGTTGACTAAAGTATTAGAGATTAGTTATTTACCCCAACCCCATATTTGCATAATTAAATTGATAATTTCTTAGAAGAACCGCAGACATGATTCATATAAACATGCTGGAGGGGACATTAGGTCTACTGGCAACTCCTTAATTATGATCTTCTGAATTGTATTGTAAAAAGAACAATCATTATCCACTTTGCCTCTGGAGCATTTTTTAAATTTTTTGCTTAAATGTTAAAACCTGCATTTTTTCTAGAAAATGATTTAAAACATCAAACAAATATATATTTTCTGAAAGCAGAGACCTTGTAGAATAAAAAGATGGAGGACGCAATTTTTAATTTTGCATGATATTTGTACAGCTATTCATCAAATCTATATATTTTCAGAAAAAAATACTCTAAAATAAATTTTGTTGCACACAAACACAATGGGGGAATTTATCAAAATTGGAGCAGACAAAATCTGGCGCAGCTGTGCATGGAAATCAATCAGCTTTTCTCTTTAGTTTGTTCATTTAAGGTTTGCAAATGAAAGAGGGAGCTGCTCCAGGATTTGTGTGCTTCAGATTTGATACATTTCCTTCAATGTGATCATCAATTTTTTGCTTAAAAACGTTGTCAATTAAACAGATACCAAATATGTCAAGCCTTGAAATGAATAATTACAGCACCCGAAATTATTAATAGGCAGCCCTTTGAAAGCCATTACCATTTATCAGTTTAGAAGGAACCACAAGTCAAGGCTTTTAGCATTATTTTTTTTAATCCAATCTGTGTGATGATACCCAATATGTGTTGTCCAATATGAGTTGCAAAATGTAAAAAAAGAATAATAAAGTGAAATCACTGGAACGTGACCACGAGCACCCCCACCCTGCCTCAGGTGGCAATTATGCAAGAGACACCTCTAGTTACTCCACAAGCTTTTAGCAGCATCCTACATCTATTAACAGTCTATTAAAGGGTGCTACTACACATCTCCTAAGTCATTGATGCTCTTCTGGTGTATGCTTGATAATGCAGACAGTTGTGTAAGCATCTACAAATACTTCTGGACTGCAAAGCATAGACTGCTACTTCTTAACTTATGGGGAAAACAAATCCTATACTAAGTCCACCAGGTCTCTTTGATATAACAATATTTTGGACATCTTTAGAAAGAAGATTATCTTTGTACATTTCCATGACTTTAATTAACAGACCCTTGAAGAATGTATTTGATACATTTAAAATACAAAAACACATCCATAACATTTAACATTTGCACATTATTAGTTTATTTGTACTGGCAAAGCCAGAAAACATGGTTTAGATTAAAGGTTTGGGACAGTTCTGTGCACAAGGAATGGAAAGTGTTGTGCTAATGCTTTATGCTTTGTTTATATGCTTTATTTATTATGCTTAGCAGCACTATATAGATGTTGAGAAATGTTCTTATTTTCTATAAGAACATTTTAATAATAATTAAAAGGTTAATATGAAATATTGCCTGTATATGTATATTTCATAGTTATGATTTCTTTCCAGGCATCTAGGCCCCATTTCTCATGTGTACCAGGCTAATCTTAGGTGCTTAAAAGCTGGTTGATTACAGCGCTCAAGCTAATTACGAATGCAGCTATATTATCAGAGGAGTGACTCATGCCCTATTCTTTAACGATCTCTGTATGTGTAATAACTTGCCCAAAAGGGGGGAGTGTCTCTAATGGATCGTAACTGCGGGTAATGGTCTCCACTCGGGATGGACGGGTATCAGATCGCAGCTGAGCCTCTGATGCCTCGTATGTGGGTAAGGCGAAGAGGGAGCTGCTTCACATCACACCCTGTGTATGAGCAACGACAACCATATGTAACACTGATAAGGTAAGTATAGCGTTATTATAGGAATATCACTGCGAACCCCAAGGGGGTGGCAGCAGTGTATAGGTGGAAACAATGCAGTTCTATTAGTTACTGATATCATGCAGCGTATGTTATGTACTCAACATTATTCAATTGCAGAGTCAATTGGGAATTCAATAGTATGCAGATGCAAGTAGTGTCCATTGGAATTCAATAGTATTCAAATGCAAGCAGAGTCAATAGGGAGTTCAATAGTATTCAGATGTCCTGGAACCATACCAAGCTATGGCCCAGGTACTTGCGTTTTGTGAGATCTCTCCAGTTGGTAGTAGTGGCAGGTGGATCTGTTCCTCAGATGTGGGGTCCAGGAGTGGAGCAAGTAGGGAGCTGATTTGATCAGCTTCCTGCTACAACAGTAGGACGCCGATCAATCAGTGAACCGCGGCTTTAAGTCGACGGCACGAGTGAGAGTTGGCGGAGCCTCGCGGCGCCTGCGCAGGACGGCGACCGAGCCTGTGAGAGAGGGGTGGAGCCCCATGGCGCGCCTGCGCAGGAGCGGCGACGGATTCTGCCGCTGGACCGCAACAAAGTACGACTATTACAGTATGCTCTATATGGCTTCATACAGACTTTCAATTAGAGAAGGACAGCTACTGCTAGGCTATCTCTTTAGAGAACCCATAATGCGCTGGGGCAGCGATGCTGTGGGCACTCAATGTATTATTTAATTATTTGTTATTTCATTATTATAACAAAGATTCTGTGAGCATCACAAAAAAAATCCACCAGTTCAAAATTCATACACTGAAACAAAAACACTTCAAGAACAAACTGAATTTAAAAAAAACAATATGGAGTATTACAATTTGTTCAAGAAAATAATAATGCTCTGTCATTGACATTGTCTTTACTGGTCCTGCTTGCAGATGGAAGCTGAATGGCACTAATCTGAACCTTGGTGAAAATTCTACTTACCGCCTTTTCGGAGGGAACTTGGCCATCTCTAACCCTACCCATTCTAAACATGTGGGAACCTATCAGTGTTTTGCTTCTAACTCTTTGGGTACCGTGCTCAGCAATGAAGCCTCGCTGCGATTTGGATGTAAGCAAGATATCCAGAGCGAAGTATTAAAGTCCATTTGATGTCATAGAAATAGATGTGCAGTTACATAGACATTGTACTAACAACTATTACTTTCAATGTCTTACCTCCACTTTCCTGTTACAGCAGCTCTAAGGGGGTGTCTACATATCACTGTGCAGTCCAATGGGCACAAGAGTTTGACCTTCTGCTCTCAGTAATCAGCACTCATTAATACAACTAAACTGATACCTCTTCTTTTCCTCTGCTATACAAATCTGGTTGATTACTTTTTTTTTCTGGGGGCATGGCTGTTTTTCAGCTCTGCCAGCATTTAATATGGCAGGAAACAAAATTCAGTCACAAATAAACAAGTCTGGATACAGGCCTATTATAAGACAATAAGGTGTGAGACTTCAATTGGGCTTTAAAGCTAAATTCCAGTGTTCCCCACAGATGGTAAAGGTTAAATGCTCATTTATTCTGGGGAAACTTACCTCATTTCTTACTCCCACAGGCTAGCTCCTTTTCGCTGGTCATGCAGCTGCCCCCTCACTGACACAACCACATACAATACAGTACCAGCAGTCCTCCATTTTATGTGAGGATGTTCAGGGCCCATCCGCAGAGGAGAGCGCTGGCTGTTAAAGAAGCAAGGAATACTAATCTTATTACATTACATCAGTGATGTGCGGTACCTTCCGTGCTGGGTGAGGCAATCCCCCCCTGGTCACCAAACTATGTGTGGGGGAGTGAGGAGGAAGAGAGGAGACAGAGAGAAGCCTCCCTGTCCCTCACTTGCTCATCACTGGTGAGTCATCGATATCGACGTCCTCAGCTGTTGTTTTTTTCTTTTTTTGATTGGACAGCTTGGACCAATGGCGCTGTGCCATTGGCCAAACCATCCACAGAGAACAAGCCTCTAACAGAGTAGAGGCTGTTGCAGCTCTTGCCTCACTATGTTAGGTTATACAAGCAGTGGGGAAGCTCGCTGCTGTGTAACCTAACTCAGCTGTCAAAAGCTGGATGCAGCGCCACCTGTAATTAACAGGCAGCGCTCCGCCGCCCATAACAGGTTACACAGGCTTTCCCTGCTGTGTAACCTGTTACCATCGGCTCTGAATGGAGATAAAGCTGTCAGCTTCAGACTTGAAGATGACAGCTTTTTCCTCCATAATACTAGGTGAGTCTCTACCTCCCTGACCGCACATTCCTGCATTACATTCTCCTAGACCAGTGGCTCTCAACCTGTGGTTGAGAACCTCAACGCATGCACTTCTGCTGTGCTAGGTGAGAGGCTTCTCAGCCTCCTCCTAGTGCAGCAGTGTCAGTCAGCTGGAGGACAGCAGCAGCTGTGAATAGAAAAGTGCTGCTGTACACACTCTGTGGCTGCTGCAGCGACATTTGGTGGCTGAGGAGTGTGTGCAGCGGTACTTTTTTTATTCCCTGCTGCTGCTGTCTTCCCACCACCCATACAGTGCGGGCTCTGCAGGAGTCAGGTGTCTTAGCAGTGCTAGGATGAGATGGCTGCATGGAGACAGAGTGGGTAAGCAGGTAGCAGGGGCTGGGAAGAGCTTGTATTCTCTCTCTTGTGAGTGTGCTTCTGTTTTTAGTCCTAAGTCCACTGTGTTGCTAAGTCCTGAGTCCAGTGCATTACTAAGTCCTGAGTCCAGTGCGTTACTAAGTCCTGAGTCCAGTGCGTTACAGCCTTCTCATCCCTAGCACTGCTAAGACACCTGACTCCTGCAGAGCCCACACAGTATGGGTGGCAGGAAGACAGCAGCAGCTGAGAAATAAAAAAGTGCAGCTGTACACACTCCCCAGCCACCACCTGAGTCCAGTGCGTTGCTTAGGCCGGAGTCCAGTGCGTTGCTTAGGCCAGAGTCCAGTGCGTTGCGTAGGCCAGAGTCCAATGCGTTGCCAAGTCCTGAGTCCAGTGCATTACAAGGTCCTGAGTCCTGTGCATTACAAGGTCCTAGTCCCATGTGCCAGAGTTCTAGGAAGAAAAGGGAGATCTAGTAATCGCCTTTAGTTAACATGGTCACTGCCAGAAGACTGGGAAAGAAAAAAGAGAAATAGGGTATGCAAAGAATACAAAGCCAGCAATTATCTAGAAGTATTTGTTTGTAGATTGTCATTACTAAACATTTCTAAAGGTGTGTTTGTTGTTTTTTTAAAGATATGGGTAAAATTCCTCTTTAATATTCATGCTATTTGCTATTCACAGATTTGCATGAGTTTTCACCAGAGGAGAAGGATCAAGTGAAGACAACAGAAGGACAGGGAATTATGTTGCCATGTAACCCTCCACAGCACTATCCAGGTATTTCTTGTAGAAAAATTGTGCCAAAACACCCACTTAGAGAGGTAGGCAAACTAAAAGTTAGTTGGTTATACGTGACTGGACAGTTTCTTATGGAAAAGCTGGTCATTTACAGCACAATCTTTACTACCCCTGCCAGGGCCGCTGATAGGGGGTACAGCCAGCCCTCATTTACCAGGGATAATGTACGTAGCAGATGAAAGATTCACCACAGAGCAATAATTTTACAACAGAGGCAGGATCTTTCTCTAAGAAAAGCCCTTTGTTAGTAGTGCCATTGCTCTTCTTCAAGAATACCGAACATGCATATTTCTGGAGAAGCAGGGACAACTTGTTTCAGCAAATTGGATAATAAATTTGTAACTTGGCGGTTATGTGGATAAAATCCACTTCTTGGTGTTGACAGCATAGACATGCTGAAGAATGTACTTTACCCATTTTTGCAAACGTAAACGAGTTCTGTGCATTCTGTGCATTAAGGTAAAAACCGCCGCCGGTGCCAAAGCAATCCTCTGTTCCCATTCTTCCTGGTTCTAGGCTCCTTCTGCCATCAATAAAACTGCTGGGCAGAGAGGAGGGGCACGGACTGTTGCAGTGCCTGCGTGCTGTCTATGGATGCACACAGGCACTGCAGGCATGAGCGCGCACAGACGCCTCTAAAGCAGTCGCTTAGCTGATGGAGGAACTTGTGCAGAAGATGGGGGGAGAGTGCTGCGGGGACCCACTAGAAAACCAGAAAGAGAAAACTTTTTAAAGAAGAAAAACAGAATTTTTATAGAAAAGGTGGGCCACCTAGTTGTGAAGATAGAAAAAACCCGAACCTTTAATATCACTTTAATAGCTGGTGACACTAATAGATGAGATGAACTAATGTGAGTACAACTTGGAAATGGTACCTTTAGGTTACTGGGACTTACAAAAGAACTATGGGGTAAGTGTTTTTCCCCATAGTTCTCTTTATGGTCACGAGAGGACATATACTAAACCTCCTCCTGTGACCCAAAGCTCAGTATATCGCAGGCTATTGCCCACGATATACTGTGAGCGCTGCAGCCGGGATGGATCCCGACAATACTGTCGAGATCCACCCAGCTGTGTGAGTGACAGCTGGCTCTGCCTATCTAGAGGCAGATCCAACTGTGCCCACCCTTCCCCTGTTCGTTCATCCACTCAGTGCTGGAGGATCGGAGAGAGGAGGGGGGAATCCCTGCGGGGAGCTATGACTGATAGTCTTCCTGCAGTGAGCGGTGACTATCGGGAAGTGAGTGGATTGGTGCATGTTTCTGCTTACTTCCCGATCGATAGAGCCGACCTATGACAGCTTCTTTGTCACAGGTCAGCACTAACTATGAGGATGAGTGGAAATCACTCACCTCATAGTTCTCCTTTAAGGATGCCAGGTAAAGGGTGATTGACTGTTGGTAAGTCAGCATTACAGAACTGGGTGTCTAGCCCATGATAGAGCTGTAAGAACCGAAAAAAGAAAACTGCATGGTAAGTCAAACTTTTCCTGTGACTGTATAAAAGTACATAAAATTCCACATTGGTATATATCAAACAGTAGTGTAAGACCATGTGATTTCAAGATCTCTTTATCTGAAATAATATGTAGGTGGACTGCCCCAGAGTAAGATGGTGTCTTAAAAACCAATAAAAAAAGGACAAAAAATGTATTGGCAACATTTCATATAAATATGGCAAGTATGAATAAATGAAATATCATTCCTAAGCATACTAGGAGCTTCTAGAGTGATCAATATATAGAAGATCTGTGACACTTGCACCAGGTGGGATTCAAAGCTAGGTAAGTTACAGCTATCCATCCAGGTGATATTATTTTGTAGCTGTACAGCTACATAATATAGAAAGATGTCGGTAAGGGCCACTCCAGCTTCCTCCTTTGGCCTTTGAAGTTTAGATACTTTTCATTTAGGCCTGGAGCTACCCCAGATAATGTTTTGAACTACAGTGCAGTGCGTTCAAAATAGTGCTTGCAGCAGCCTTTGCCTTTGGCCATTTGTGATACCTTAACATTCATATCTGCAATACAGTATGGGCCCCAACGTTGGCTAGCCTAGAACATTGCTACTGGCCAGTAGTATAGAGAGTCACAAATGACCTGAGACTGATACATTAGCAACCAAGTATTCAAAGTCAGAGATGGCACCTAAGGTAGTTTAATACTGCATATTTCAGTATACGGACAGCCAGGACTGCTGAGTGTCAGAATACCAACTGTATATTGTTAAATGTTTTTTTCTTCTATTATTGTGTTCATTATTGCAATATTTAATAAGTAAAGCCGTTACAAAACTCTCTAAAGGTGTGTTGGTTTGTTGTGGACCCTGTTTGGGCGGTACATTTGGCTTGGGGGGGACAGAAATACTGGGTGAGCGCTTCACATAGTTTGTCCTAAATACATCACTGTAGTGGTGCAATTTTAGCTGTAAAAATCTGAGATGGACTCTTAGTAATAATAATCCCCATTTGAATGAGTCTGCAACTTGCAGGGCATGGACTTTTACCACAGCAGAGCAAAGGTTGGCTGTTTTAGATGCATCAGAGCCGATTTCAACCAATTGATCTGTAGACCAGATTATATGCCAAACTTCAATTATATAAGTCGCTTTCAGAAGGGAGGAGGGGTAAAAGAAAGGAGTGCATGTCTGATAAAAGTACAACGTAATATTATGTCTTCGGCATATAGGCCATTTTTTTCTACAGTTGAGCCATACTGAATATTCTCTATAGTTTCTGAAGATCTAATGCAAATATCTAATGTTCCTATTGGTATGTCAAATAAAAGGGGGGGGGGTCGATGGACGCCCCTGCCATGTGAAGTGAGTGAAGAAATCTGATGTGATTCCATTTACACAAATATTTAACACAGGGGCAAAATTTGAATCCACTGCATAGATTTGTGACCAAATCTTTATAGGCACGCTATGAGGAAAGGCCATTTCTCATAGCGGAATTCTATAGAATCAAACAACTTGGCTGTATCTGAAGAGGCCAGGGCACAGCCTTTGTGTAAATTTTGAAGGATTTGTGCTACTACCTGAGTTTGACGAATATTTATTAAGGTGGACTTACTGGACATAAAGCCTGTTTGATCTGGAGATACAATACCTAAAATGACTGAATTCAAATAGATAGCAAAGATTTTGGTCAAGGTCTTTTAACTGATGTTTTTTAATGTAATTGGTCTATATGAGGCACAATCTAAAGGGTCTTTATCTGGTTTCAGCAATACTATTTTGCCTTCTGCAATGACTCAGTGGTCATTTTCCAAACCAGCGGGAGGACAGCAGCAGCTGTGAATAGAAAAGTGCTGCTGTACACACTCTGTGGCTGCTGCAGCGACATTTGGTGGCTGAGGAGTGTGTGCAGCGGTACTTTTTTTATTCCCTGCTGCTGCTGTCTTCCCACCACCCATACAGTGCGGGCTCTGCAGGAGTCAGGTGTCTTCTGCAATGACTCAGTGGTATTTTTCCAAACCAGCGAGTTGAATTTTACATGCGTTTACATATAGGGACCAGCTGATCATATCTTTTATAAGCATTGAAAAATAACCTGCCAGGGCTGGGTGATTTCCCAATTGACAAGGTAGCCCAGGCATGCCTTATTTTTCCTCAGTAATAGCTTTGTTTAGTAGGGTGATTTGGTCGCTATTTCAGTTGGGGAAGTTTAAGGGTAGTAAATATTACTGGATTTCCTCTGTTCTTTTAAATAGTCTGGAGGAGTAAATATGTTCATAGAAATTTTGGAAACATTCTAAGATTCCCCCTGCATCAGATAGCTAAGAGCCATCCACATTTTGAACCTTAAATACAGAAGTATTAAAGTAGCCCATGCCAATATAAGCTTCTTCCATCTTCATGCAGGCATAGGCTAATTCATTTTTAAAATAATGGTATGGTTTTTTTTAACATGAGATGTTATTGATTTAAGGCCATGTTTTAAGTATGGTTTAGTTGTACCTCACAGAGCAGCAGCATTTGAAAAACCTTCATCCTCAAAAAATGCCTGTAGTTGTTCTGGTGTTTAATCATATTGCCTTATCAAATCCAACTAAAAGAGATTGATACATAACCTAACCTTGTGGCTCCAATTTGGAACCTTAGCTGTAATTAACAGGTCAGTGATCCCATTTTTCCCATTCTATGTAATGGTAATGTCTTCATTATCAGTTGTGCAGGGCGGTCTGTCAATACAAAGGGTTAAAGATCAAGACTTGGATGGTTCATTGTGTGTTAATACAAAGTCCATGTATGTTAATACAAAGTCCCTACTTTTGTCCATTATCCTATTGTAAAGCAGGGTATATACAATTAGAACATAGTTAGAAACAATCATTATCCTAACATTTGTTAAATCCTCTAATAGTTTATAGTGTCACATTGATGACTATTTTCAACCATAGTGATGAAAAAAAAAATCAAAGGAGCAGGATGGAAAATGTTTCTCAACCTAATGAAATTCTAACAGTGAATGTGGTGTTTGCTTGGGAAACAACATTCATTCCAAAATCAAATGTTAAAATTGAACAATATTTTTTAACAACCTATTGACGTCTCTAGCATTATCAAATGTACTGACAAGATTTTTTGTACGATTGTTCATGCAAAATTCACTGTGTACATTCAGCTTTAGCAATTTAAGCTGCCTGTAGTATCCGGTGTATAATCCCGCTCCAAAAAAACACTTATTTTTAGGTATGCTGTGTGAATGGGAACACAGAAAAAATATAAAAGGGTTTCTCAAATTAGTCTTTAAAAGTAGAAATACACTCTAAGCCAGGGGTGCCCAAAAGGTCCCTGTATGATAGAAGGCTCTTTTAATTACTTTCCTCATGAAAATACTAGTAATACAATGCCACTATAGTACAGTAACTTTCAAGTTCAACTATATTCTGTTCTATGTTTCTATAATGGCATTGTATTACTAGCACTTTCATAAGGACATAAGGACAGCCTTCTACCATACAGGGTAGAAGCTGAACTGCCGACTTGTAGTTTTCTAGTAATACAATGACATTATAGAATATGGGATAGAATATACTCAATTTCAGCCATGTTCTATTCCATATTCTATAGTGACAAGTACTTACCTCACATGTCACAGTCCTTTTAGCTTGTTCTCACAGCTGGAGGAAGCTCTTGCAGGAGGCTGTAAAACACACTAGCGTGCGGGGACAGCGGCCGGGAACATCGAGGCTCGCGGTATACTGAGATGCCGCAGCCGGAGCAGATCTCGACATCGATGTCGAGATCCGCCCAGCTGCGTGAGTGACAGCTGGCTCTGCCTATCTAGAGGCAGAGCCAGCTGTACCCGCCCCCTCCCCCGTCCGTTCCACCAGTCAGCGCTGGTGGATCGGAGCGGGGAGGGGGGAATCCAGCCCCTCCCCTGTCACGGCAGAGAGCCGTGACAGGATCGAGAAGTAAGCGAACACCGGTATGTGTTAGCTCACTTCCCAATCTACTGAGCCGACCTGTGACAGTCTCATTGTCACTGGTCGGCTAGAACTATGAGGTGAGTGAAAAGCACTCACCTCATAGTTCTCCTTTAAGTAGATTTTTGATGAACATTCGTATGAAAAAATCCCATCGAAACATTTAATAATACCATCAGAGGCTTGGTGATTGTCATTCGAAATATGGGTTGATTTTCATTTTATATAACATTTGGTTTTGGAACGAATGGAATTTTCTGAATAAAAACCACATTCGCTGTTAGAATTTCATTTAATTCCAACATGCTCCTTCTAACTTTTTCATCACTGCGGTCGAAATTGATCATAAATTTCACCACATTAACGATTAGAAAGCTGAATGAACATTACAAAATCAATATCGTTCTAAGGAAATTCTAACAATGTATATCCAACTTTACTCATCCTCCACTCCACCCCATGTCTGTCACAGAACAAACCCACTGGCTGTGTGGGAGTAGACAGCTCTCCAATGTTAGGTAAGAGGGTGCAGTCACAACAAATCAATGCAAAGGACCCCGTGAGATGACTAGACACATGGGAAATGGTAAGGTAGATCAGGAGTGTGCATATGTACACAGAGGCTCCACTAGGGATGGTGTCACCAGATGCGATAACTCATGGTGTCACCCCCATATTCAGTAAGAAACCGCTAGAATGTCTCCCTTGCCCTCCAATACAGGGGATTGAGCACAGAATTTAGCACCCCGGCTTGTGACAGCTGAGACAGGAAGAGCTGTCCTTTTCTCCCTGATCACACAGAGCAGATCGGAGAACGGACAATCTCTGGTCTGCTCCCTGATCTCCATCCTGAATTAATTTGCCGTGCTGATAACTGGCTGTGGGACCAGTCTGGGACCTGGTGGTGCACTGGTGTCACCCGTTGGTGGGTGTCACCTGGGTGCAGTCCGCACCCGTCACACCTTCCTAGTGATGCCGCTGTATGTACAGTAGACTCAGGATCTTAATGATTTGTGGGGCATGGCAGCTGTTGTAACCCTTTCTTCCCTTTCCAAGCCTTCTTTACCATATTTGTTTTTAGGAAGTTACATTTTACACATTGATAATATACACATATACATATTTTATCTGTTTCTTGCAGGTTTGTCCTACCGATGGCTGTTGAATGAGTTTCCAAATTTCTTGGCCAATGACAGTAGACACTTTGTGTCCCAAGTGACAGGGAATTTGTACATCGCAAGCACAGAAGCAGAAGATGAAGGAAAATATTCCTGTCTTGCCACTAGTCACATTGCTTTTACAACCAAAAGTGTTTATAGTAGTTTTACACCACTTATCATCACTCCAGGAGGTAGGTGGCTAAGGATGTAATGATGCATTTAGGAATACTTTTTATACAGTAAGCCTGTCCACACACCAAACACGTTTTCCTGAGAACAACAAATTTATATGCACAATTTTTCACTTCACTTCTAAACTCAATGCTGTATGTAGAAAGAAATTGTAAATGAACAAAGTACCTTAACAGAAAAACCACTAAAGTTATAGGTGAGGATAACTTGAGGTAAAAGCCAATGTCAACGACAAATATGCCTTCGAAAGTTTTCATGCTGTCTGCAAGAAATTATGCCACTATAAGCAAATACTGCTTGCTGTTATACATGTAAGGACTTCCTTTTGATGGTTGTGACTGCTGCCGTGTTAGTTTTTGGAACATTTTATTCTGAGTCTGATGCATCAAGCATGCCTCCTGCCCCCAACACCCAACTGTCTCCAGATGCCAAATACAACAATTCACAAGTACAATATATTGTGTCAACAGCCAGAGATCTTTGCTCCCTAAATAAATCAAATGCAAGGTAAAAACCACTAATTTAACAGAAAATTAAGTTTGTTGGGATTTAACAAACCATCATGAAGTGGGGAAACATATTTAGAGGAGAGCAGGCAGCTCAGTCTTTATTACAAACAATACAATAATTCTAAGACCCCAAAAGGAAAACCAATTTTTGCAAGATATAATTTCTATAATGCAGGGCAAAGTGTAAGTCAACCAACAGTGACAGACCTAATACAGCTAGCAAAAAAAAGATAAATGAATAATTTAAGATGCCAATCTTACTTTAAGTACATATTGATATTGCATGAAGCTAAGTTGCTGCTCAGGCACAAATAAAACTCATGCCTGAATGCAAGAACAGACTAAGTACCCCTAACTTACAGGCAAAATAAAAATAGTTCAAAAACATTTGGCAGATATGGGATATAAAAAAATATGGCAAAACTGTCTTGCTTAAGAAAAAAAAAATGTGACAAATGCAAAGGAGAAATCACTATGTTAAGATGTGTCACTCCAAAAGGTATACAGGACATCAGACTGCAGCAGAAAATGTTGATTTATTTGATTCAAGCTATTCAAAGCTATTCTGTTGCTCAAATCAATGTTCAAAATAAAACATTGCCTTCAAAGTTCTGCAATATTCACCTCTTCTGCTGCCTACATTGACAATCTCTGCAGCATTGAAGAGAAAACACCAGCTGAAGATCCTGCAAAACCCAACTTTACACTTCCAGGAAGGTTTGATTCCTGGTCATCAACTGCATTCAGTGGTTCGATCTGATGGCCTCTACAGCATTACCATGTCGTCTAGTAGAGTAGGAGCAAGCAAGAGGAACCACAACTGGTAGTAAATTGACACTTCCAGAAGTGTTGGATTCGGCAGGATTTTCATTCTGCACATTATTTTCACTAATGCAGAGATCGGCAGTGCAGACAGCAGGTAGGTGAGTATTCCATGTTTTCTTTGCAGGGGACCTTTTATTTTTAACATTGATATCAACAACAGTCACCTTAACAATTGAAATTGCAATAGGAAAAAAAACCATATAAAAACAGCTCATCACACCAAAAAGCAATGCAATTTAAAAATTATACCTGGCATGGTTGTACAAGTTGATGTGATTTTTTTTTTTTTTTTTTTTTTAAATAAAACAATTTTTTTAAGTTTTACAAGTGTAAAGTAACATAACAAACATTTGACTAAAGTGGTGAATTCACAAAGTGATACATGAATACCTCAATGAGCAACAATAATGGTTTCACTTCACCAGAGTGCAGACACATTCCTGTGTATAGGAAATCATGTATCATAAAGAACAAAACAACAACAACAACAACAACAACAACAACAAAAAAGGGGGAAGGTGAAGGGAATTTAAAGGGAGGGATAGGGAAGGAGATGTGGAGAGGGGAAAACAGGAAGGGACGACCAAAAGGGCCTGCTGCTAGACCAGTATGTCAATTTGCTTGGTATATAGAGTAAATAGGTCGAGGGGTATAAACCATATTCTGTAGATCTATATATAAGAAACAATGACAGCGATTCATAGAGACCTAAAATGATCAGAGTCCATGTACAAGAGCCAGGGGTTTCATGTTTCAGAGAATAAAGATTGTCTATCTCGTAAATAGGCGGCCAGCTATTCCAAGTGCATTGTTTGGCAAATTTCTCCAATTTATTCTTCCCTGGAGACTCGGATTGAGTTCCAATGTCTTGGTATGAGAGAACATGCAGAGGATACGAAAAAGCGAAAGAGATTCTTCTTGAAGTGGGATATAGAGCCAGGAAAAATTGAGAGAAGTGCTATTTTTGGGGAAGAGGCTAGGGAGGATCCAGTTACCTGGCGATATGTAGCAAAAACTTTTTCCCAGAAAGAAGATATCATAGAGCAAGTCCACCAAATGTGGTATATAGAGCCTGTGTGAGAATTACAGCGCCAGCACAGTAGAGAATAGTCTGAGGAGATGCAATGAAGAATAACAGGACTACGATACCATCTTGACAAAAGTTTAAAACTCGTTTCTGGAGCTGAGCTGGCTATGGAAATTGTGACTATAGCGCAGGGAGATTTGTAGCTGGCTGGAGGTGGCATCGTGTGGCCATGTCTGAGAACGGGCTGAGCAGTAGTTGTATTTGTGCTGTTAGGTGCCGTAAGCAAACAGCTGGCCAAGCTGAGTCCTGTCGGCTGTGAAAGTGGGAGGCAAGAGATGCCGCTCTGCAGCGGTTCTGTCACTGTCAGCAAACAGTGTGTGGTGGATGAACTTGGTAGCGAGCACGGGGCTGGTCGGAAAAAACAGTCCGTTTTGCTGGGTGGTGGGGGGTGTCACACTGCAGTCGGCTATGCGTTTCGAGGCTATGCCTCTTTTTCAAAGCCTGGAGTGAGATAGCAAGAATAGGCGGGAGTTGGAGGGGGTTTAAAAAATGACAGGTGGGTGGAGTTTAAAATCGTGTCGGACTACTATTGGTGGACGTTTTTGGAAGGGGCAGGTCTAACCTTATAATGTGCGGCATAGTAGTCGCTTGTTCAGAGACTGAAATAAATAGATGGGAGACATTTATTGATAAGAACTGACTTTTATTAAAATGGCTGTTTAAAAACAGATGCCATATGTTTGTATATAATGTAGTGTATGGGTTGCTCTGATTCTATTACTGCACTTATCTCATGGAATAATATTCTGTTCTCTTGAACAGGTGGGAAGTGCAAGAGGGTATCTATCTATACTATATTTGTAACTTTAAAAAGTCATAATGTTTGTATGTTTGAAATGTCGGCATGAAGAATAAAAAGTATTAAAAAATTGATAAAAAATGAAACAATGAAAAATAAAACAATGAACCTTGGTCTATAAAGATGTTAATAAACTTTTTGATTGTTTAAAAATGATGTGAAGCTTTTTGAAAAATATTATAACATGTATAAGTGGTTTTTAAAAGCGTATATACAATGAATATTTTTCTATTTATGAGCACATATTATAATGTATGAACGAGAACGTGCGCTTGTAGGAGTTCATATACCGCTTCTCACAGGATTATTGGTTAAATACTGGAATTCATATGATGGTCTGGATTTCTATTTCTTCATTTAGACCCGTGGGTACTAATGTATCCAATTTATAGATCCAAAAATTCTCCCTGCTGCACAGAAGTCGGAACCGTTCGGAGGGTGCTAGATGGGTGGGTATGTGTTCAATCGCAAATACATGAAGAGCATGGATGTTCTTATGATGTTTTGTAGTGAAGTGTCAGGGGACACTATGATCGACATCTCCTTTCTCGATAAATCTTCTATGTTCTACAATTCTTTTGCGTAAAGGACGCATAGTACGTCCAATATAGACCAAGCCGCAGGGGCATGTTAGGCCATATATCACATGATCGTGTGCGCAAGTGATAAATTGTCTGGTGTTAAAGACATTGTTGCGATGGTCACTAAATGCTGTCTGTCCATGTTGGATGAACTGACACCTGAGACACTTTGTTTTTTTATACCGAAAAGTCCCAACCCTATTGTCAAACAGAAAATGTTTTGGGCCTATTTTGGATTGTTTGGATAGTTTACTGGGAGCAACTAAATTCTTAATGTTTTTGTTCTTATTAAAATGAATGTATGGTCTAGGTGATGAGAGGACCTAGTTTAGGATCTTTTAACCCCTTCATGACTGAGGCCCTTTTTTCAATTTTTGCACCCATGTTATATTCCACATTTTAGGCCTGAAAATGACGTAAAACCCCCCAAATGCCAGTTCTGGATAACCTTCTGGATGGATTTATGGCTGTTGTTAAATGTGGTGATGAACCTAACTTTGTTGTCCTCTGTCCGCAGTTGGTCTTTATTGGTAGTTTTGGGTAAGGCTGGTTCTAGGTACAGAGAGAATGCTTCCGTAATTAGATGTTCAGGATATTCTTTCTCTTTACATTTATTTGAAAGAAGGAGACTGGAGGCAGTATAAATCAGATTTGTCGGTACAATTCCGTTGGAGCCAACAGAACTGACTTTTAGGAATATTATCTTTCTACCGGGGGTGGTGGCAGCTACTATAATGTAGATATGAGTTGCCACCTGTGGGTTTTGTGTGATTTCTCGTGATAATATCGTTGTTTTTTGTGGTGAGCTCTAGATCGAGGAAAACCAATTCGGTGGTGCTGACGACATGAGTGAAAGAAAGGCCCAGATTATTGTTATTACAGTGGGTTACAAATTCAAGCACGCTTTCTGGGGGACCATCCCAGATGATGACTATGTCATCTATGTATCTCCCATAGAAGACTAAATGTTTGGCATGTGTGTTGTTTTTTCATATATGGGAGTCTTCCCAGAATCCCATAGTAAGATTGGCATAGCTTGGAGCGTAGTTGGCGCCCATAGCTGTCCCTTTGATTTGTAAGTAAAATTTGTCAAGAAAAGAGAAATAGTTATGATTGAGTTTCAGTACAGTTCATGATGAACCGTGCTTGAGTGTGATTGATGGAAGAGTTGGAGAGGAAATATAGGAGGGCATTCAAT